TAATATTTTTGATGTGAAGCATAAATTTTATAAATAAAAATTTATTCAAATTGCAACAAATTTTATAAGAAGTGATGGTAAATTATTTTATTTTATTTTTACAAATACAGAAACTAAATTTCAATATAATCGAAAAAAAATAGTTTTAAATTGAAGGATACCTTTGGGAGGTGTCAAGGTTGTGAGGGTATAAGTAGGTAGTGCATGTAATACATGTTTAATCAAAGTAACTTTTCCACCTTATGGAAGAAAGTGTCATTATATGCTATCAAGAATTGTCAAATCTGGAATCTTTTTTTGTTATCCCTCGTAATACTATGAAAATATTTTTTATTTTTGTCTCCCTCCTCAAACCATTTGACTTTTGATTTTTGTATCAATAAAAAAAGAGTCATGTATGCAAAGCCACTTTATATATTCAGCATGAGTTTTGTTGGCATCTTCTCTTTCATGTTCTATTATACAATGAATGTATGCTTCTTCAAAGAATTGAACTTTCTCTTCGGGTTGCGTATCGATCGATTCGGTTCGATTTTAAAGTTAATCGGTTCGATTTATCGGTTATCGATTTATGCTAAATCGTTATAGAACCATTAAGATATATATTGGCTTGTTTCGATTATTGTTTTATCGGCTATTGATCGTTATCGATTTAATTATTAAGATTTAACACAAAAAACTTAGAAACAAGGTGACAAACCAAATGAACCATGCATGCACATGAGTTGCCAAAATGCATCTTGCTTAAAAGCAAATATTTTCGTCTGTCGCGTAGAATAACCTAAAAAAATATAAAACTAAACTCTAATTCAAAGACTTTATATACCAAATGGTATAAATATAATTAGATAATTTACTATCGGATTATCAGTTAACCTATTAAGAAAAAACTTCAAACCTCTAAGAATGGATAACTCGATAAATATATTCTTGCTCCTTCTTTTTTTCCCCAGTGTTAGTGTCTTTCCTTGAATCGTTGCAATCTGCCCAACATTTTTGCTCGACCTGTTTACCTTTGTATCCTGTAGAATTGAACGGAGTATCAACATATATATGTTGGATTCTTGGTTATTACATATTGTTTCATAATGTATCATACTGTAGTACTTCTATTGTGTTGTATTGTATCCTACACTATTGTTTTAATGACTACATTGTTTGTATATATGTATTCATGTTATCCGTCGTTACATAGTACTTCACACATTCATAATTTGAATGACAAATCTACAAGAAAAGTAGGGTACGAAGTAGAATTACTATGAAAAAATACTTATGATAAAATATGAGATATGATTATTAAATGATAAATAAAGACAAAATGATAGAACAAAATAGTAAGGTAACAACGCGATTACACCAAATCGGTCGTTACATAAAATGAATCGCCGTGACCTAACGATGAATTCAAACGATACGACACAATAAAATTTAAGTAACAATCAAAACAAACATTGTATTTAAAACTAGCAATACAATACAACGGGTAACAAGGTGTTAGGATCAATTTCAATTTCTGCTTCTGCCCATGCTCTTTCACTAATTTTTTTCAATACAATACAACGGGTAACGGGTAGCAAGGGTGGATCTAGATGCAGCCAGGGGTTGGGGTTCACTCAAATAAACTCTCTTCGTTGAAAAATCACACTATATATATTAAAAAAAAATGAACCACCTAAAAACAAGAAAGAAGTATAGATCAATGGATAAGGGAGTTCAAGAAATGGCCCTATGTCATGGGTTTGAGTCCCACGCGCATACTTCTTCTCCTTTTTCATTATTTTTCTCTTTTATGCCATTTTTCTTTCTAATTTGTCTTTGTTTTTAGACACATTTTTATTTTAATGTAACTCTTTTTTCATGAACTAACTTAAATAAACTCCTTAAAATGATGAATTATATTAAACTTGAATTTGAGATAGAAATATAATTTTTTTTAAAATAAGCTAAATAGATGTAATTGAATGAAGAAACATAAAAATCGTCAATATCCTTTTAACAATATCAATTTAATAAAATTCATTACTCACGGCTCATCAGTAGCCTATGTGGTTCCATTCTTAGCCCATTTTCTTAGAACCTTTATCCACGCCTTCCACCTATGGCTCGTCGAAGGAAAGATGGCTCGTAGGTGGGCTCGTCTGTTGCCAACTTGCAGTTGTTTCAGGATCTTTCAACACCACTACTCCAAAACCTATTTCCTGCAAAATTAAATCAAAACACCATCATACCTAATAACAAAATGCCTAAGACTCATGAAAAACTCAAAGAATGCATCAAAAATATTGTAAACTCACGGTACATCAATGCTCAAATGTATAAAACATACTCTTTCTCTGGTTTGAGATAATTGCTCAAACTATCCTCTTAATAGAGGTAATTGCTTTAAAATATCTATGAACACATAAAATCGTTTAGAAATCAAAGTTTCTCTTTTCTCAAAATAATATTCTTTTTCTTCATGTAAAAATGAAACATTTGGGAAATACTTAGTTCCCTTATACTCTTTCTCAAGCTCCTCTTTACTTGCTCAAAAACTCAGTTCAAAACACAAATGTTGGCTTTAAAAGATTCTCAAGATTTATGACTCAAAATAGGGTCCATGATGAAATATAGACATGAACGAATCAACTCAAGAATCTCAATAGAAAACTCAATACTCAGAACTCAAGAACTTAGAACTCAACAATACTACTCATCTCAAGAATACTCAATTCATAGTGTTCACAGTGAAATATAGACATGAACAAATCAACTTAAGAATCACAATGCATAACATGTAGCAATTCAATAATTAGGAATATAATTTCAGAAAGAATCAGGAACTCAAGAACTCAAAATCAACTCATCTCAAGAATACTCAAATCTAAGGTTAGAACCCTATATTTACTCTTTCACTGATTTGAAAGTAGATGTAGGATGTGACGACGAACTAGTCCAACACTATGATAGACTTACATACTTGGAAGAACAAAGTCATTGAAGAATCTTAAATAAGAACTTGATTAGAAGCGTTGAAATCCCAGCTTGAAGGAGTACAATCAAAAAAACCTTTCTTGAGATTCTTGAATTAGTTTCTTGAAACTCTATGGCCAAGAATTAGGATTATCATTAATGATTCATAATTGTATGAAGAAAATTGAGTTGGAAAGAATGAAATTATTGGAGAAGGACTTAAGTTGAAGAAAAATCTTGAAAAAGATTGAAATAATCTTGAATGGAGTCTTCTATTTTGAAAGAATGTCATACTAGACACTATATCAATACTCTACACTACAGTCTACATTCTTCACACTTCACAGTTTATAGTACTTCTACTTTACATCATAAATTACATATTGTGTTTTGATTGTAACATGTAATTGTAGCCTTTGTGTTATATTTGCTCCTATTAATGCAATTTTTCATTATCTTTCTTGTTTCACTATATCTAAACATTTACAGTTGATTGTTTGTTTCACTGTATCGCTTCAAATTGTTAAAGAAGATAAGTCATGTATATATTATAAGTATTTTCTTATTTAGTAAATTGAAAATCGAACCATTAATGACCAAAAATTGATAAATCAAAAACTGATAAACCGAACCGATAATACATAAAATCTCCAATTGAACCGACTGATAATTGAAAGAGTTGTATATTGTGTCTAATCTAAAGTGGTGACGAGAACAGAACATCCTAAAATTCACGGTGTAACCCCAAAACAACAACAAAAGTACAAATCTAAATAGTAACACAATTCGATAGGTAATATTCAACCACAATCAGATACAAATAACTGGTTAGAAAGTTCCCCAAAATAGTGAAGATCATCGACATTCCTCCTATTATATATATAACATATATAGTGAAGATCATCGTGTTCTAGCTTTGGGCAATCCATGGTATTTTGAAATTTCCAGTGAGCCATTATATATAGGGAAATGACAAATATAGCCTTGAACTATCGTAAATGGTATATATGCAGATATCCTCCGTTATATTTTTGGAACATTAGTGCCCCTACCATCCAAAAACTAGAGCATATATACCCTTTATACTAACGGACATACACATGTCATAATCTTATCCACTGACCCAACATTTATTAAAAGGAAAAAGGACAAACATATCCTCAAACTATCGTAAATGGTATGCAGATACCCTCCGTCATACTTTTGGAACATTGGTGCCCCTGCCATCAAAAAACTAGAGCATATATGCCCTTCACTCTAACGGAAGAGGGACACGTAGCACAATTTTATCCATCAATTTGATATTAGTAAATGTCGGGTCAGTGGATAAGATGTGTATGTCCGTTAGTATAAAGGGTATATATACTCTAGTTTTTGGATGATAGGGGCACCAATGTCCCAAAAGTATGACGGAGGGTATCTGCATACCATTTATGATAGTTCGGGGGGTATATTTATCATTTTCTCCTTAATTAAATATTGGATCAACGGATAAGATTGTGTCGTGTGTAGTCTTCCATTAGAGTGAAGGGAATATATGCTATAGTTTTTGGATGGCAGGGGCATCAATGTCCCAAAAGTACAACGGAGAGTATCTGCATACCATTTATTATAGTTTGGGGTATATTTGTCATTTTTTCCTTATATATTTAGTTCTAGTACAATGTGATTTATAACATTTTTGTATAGTCTCCCACAATTCATGAGCTTTGTTTAAAGTATATAAAAGAATCTAACTTGATAGAACCTTGTGCAGGTTAAAGGTAAACATTCATATGCTTTCAGCATAAATAACTTTAAGCTCCAAGAGATAAAGAAACGCACATTATGAAAATATATCAGCACAATATATTGTGTTATATTATACAACAAAATATTACATGATCAACCATACATATGAAACATAATGCAGTTTTATTCATACGATTTTTTTTAGCAAGGATTAGAGTAGCAAGAGTATTACTATTATAGATCTTGCCATTACGTAAAACGGTTTTATAATATTACATGATGATTTGTTTTGAGGCAATTGGCTAATCGATCATTTATTCATGGCCTTCACCTGAAGGGTTGTATCCATCACTAGGGGGTTTATATTTGCAATGTGGAGGGTTATATTTTCCACCTGGAGGTTTGTATTCGTCACTAGGAGGTTTATATTTATCACCTAGAGGTTTGTATTCATCACTAAGGGGTTTATATTTTTCATATTGGGGGTTATGTTTGTCACCTGGAGATTTGTATTCGTCACTAGAAGGTTTATATTTGTCACCTGGAGGTTTGTATTCATCACTAGGAGATTTATATTTGTCATGTGGGGGGTTATATTTGTCGCCTGGAGATTTGTATTCATCACTAGGGGGTTTGTATTCGTCACTAGGAGGTTTATATTTGTCATGTGGAGGGTTATATTTGTCACCTGGAGGTTTGTATTCATCTCTAGGAGGTTTATATTTGTCATGAAGGGGGCTACATTTGTCACCTGGAGGTTTGTATTCATCACTAGGAGGTTTATATTTGTCATGTGCACCTGGAGGTTTATACTCATCACTAGAGGATTCATATTTGTCATTTGGGGGTTTATATTCACTACTTGGAGGGTTATATTCACCACACCGAGGTTTATATTTTTCATGCAGGGGATTGTATTCACCATTTGATGGGTTGTATCCACTACATTTGTCATGTGGGGGGCTACATTTGTCACTAGATGATTTATATTTGTCATGTGGGGGTTTATATTTGTCATGTGGAGGGTTATATTTGTCACCTGGAGGTTTGTATTCATCACTAGGAAGTTTATATTTGTCATGTGCACCTGGAGGTTTATACTCATCACTAGAGGATTCATATTTGTCATTTGGGGGTTTATATTCACTACTTGGAGGGTTATATTCACCACACCGAGGTTTATATTTTTCATGCAGGGGATTGTATTCACCATTTGATGGGTTGTATCCACTATGTGGGGGTTTATTTCTATCACTTGGAGGCTTATGTCCATTGTTATATTCACCACCAAGAGATTTATATCTGTTGTTATAATCGTCATGTGAGGGTTTATATTCACTACCTGGGGATTTATATCCACCACGTGGAGGATAATATCCGTCACCAGAAAATTTATATCCATTGTTATATTCATCATATTCATCTCCGTGATATTCGTCAATGTCATTATATCCATCATCGTGTACATCATCCGATTTCATTGCTACAAATATTAAAATGTGAAATTTAAAAACTAGAATAACATTGAGTAAATGTCAAGTAATTAGATAAGAAATCCAATATTTCAAATATATAATTAATAAAAAGAAAAAATAATGATAAACTTACAGGTCTCAGCCCACTCCCTAGCTACAACCTCTGAGCTTATTATTGCAAAAATAACCAAAAATATGCCAAGAAACAAAAATGCCTTGGAACCCATAATTCTTTTCTTTTTCAAAACTTAGTTATCTTAATTAAAGGATGAAGAAATTGATACAACATTGGATTATATTTATACTAAATGAATTCAATGAATTAGAAATTGATAAACGGTCACTTGTCACTTATCTTGCCCAACAACCACGCATCGATTATATTTCCTCTGTTTTAATTTATTTGTATTATATTTTTAATTATATTTGTTTTTTAAAAAAAAGGTAGTAGTAAGGGTGTACAAAATTGAATCGAAAACCGAACCAACCCGCAAATTGAGTCAAATCGGAAAAAAAAAACCGAGTGATTTGGTTTGACTTGGTTTGGTATTGGGAAAAAATACTCGACTATATTTGGGTTGGTTTGGTTTTAACTAAAAAAAACAACCCGACATTAAATATATAATTTTAAAATTTTATTTTATACATAAAAATATTTACTTTGATATAATTTTAAATTTCTTATACTTTTTCATAGTTTATCTTTTAATATATTATTTCAAGTTTTAAACTTAGAACTCGGAATGGTTCAATAAAGATTATAGTCCACAGATGTTGGTAATTATAATAAAGCTTAAATCAAAATCAAATTAATACTAATGCAAAAAGAAAATCAATTCAACACTAAGAATGACAATAATATTGAATATTTGTTCTTTAGTTTTACATTTGTTTAGAAAATTAAAATACATAATCTAATTTTAATTTCCTTTGATATTTAGTCATGTAACTAATACTTATTAACCTTATTTTAGCATGATTTAGTTTTTTTAAATTATGATCATTTTCATTATGACTTGTTAATTTGCAATATTTGTTTTACGTGATTTCATTATTATTTTTATTGTTGGATATTTTAGTGTCATTAATCATATCATATTTTGTGTTATTTTCTTAAGAAAGACCTTAGATAGTTGTATGTTGGTAGGACTAAAGAAATATTTGAAGTACAAGTAAATTATATGTTTGTATGAATACTTTACCGAAAAAATTCGAAAAACCCCGAAAATCCAAAAAACCCGAAAAAAGCCGAGGTTGAAAAACTCGAGTTTTATTGATTTGATTTGGTTTATAAATTTAAAAATCCGACATAAATGGTTTGGTTTGATATTTGCAAAATCCGAATCAACCAAGCCATTTACACCTCTAGATAGTATAGGACCACAATATTTATCTGCATTTTGTGATGTACACTAAATAAAATAGTTGTTAATAGTTAAAAAATAAAATAAGCATATATTATCAAATTTTTTCTTGTGATGGGAGAGTGAATCTCATACAAAAGATGAAATATTTTTAAAAAAATATAATTTCAATACTTTACTAAAATCTCTAAGAGTAATAAATAACTAAAAGTTATTATTATATTTATCATAATGTAAATTGTGTACATATTTATTTTTTACGTAATTTCCTTTTCTTGAACCTTTTTTTTGGGTGCAAATTTAAATAAACACAAACTACTGCTCTAATAGACTAATACTAATAAAAGAGCTTCTTAAATCGTACTTAAACATAAACTGCTATAAGCCTATAAGGCTATAACTATACAAAGAAATTTTTGAAAACACGTTTAAAATACGTAAATTTTAAAAGTTTTCCCAAGTAGGTTCTAATTGCTCAAACAATTTTTATTGCGTTAGTTTTCTACTTCATATATTTGACGTATATATTGCTATCATTTTTGGTGGTAGGTGATCGATAAGTACTACCTTCTATTTTTAATTATAAGTTTTCAAATTTGAAATATTTGAGAAAAAAATTACTTTTAATAGGGAATACTATAATCCTAAAGTGGACCATTTCTGTTAGAGAGGCTAAAGTAGAGTTGAGACGTCGGATTTATCTTGAATCTAATATTTTTTATGTGAATCATAAATTTTATAAATACAAATTTATTCAAATTGCAACAAATTTTATAAGAAGTGATGGTAAACACTTAGCTATAACCATTCCTCTTATAATTAAAAGGGTCTGATATACATAGAGCCGGGTGATTGAATTCACCGGTGTCCTATTCGAGACGAAGTATATACCTCTCAACTTTGTTATTTAGAGCTGATATATCACTCGTTATGAAAGTGACTCATATATACCCCCACTGTTATACAAATGGCTCACAAATACCCTTTTTCTCTAACGAAAGTGGGAAAAAAATTAATTTAATTTTTTTAATTATTTTTTTGAAAAAAATATAATCCATATGGGGTATATTAGATCCTCCTCACACGTATTTTTGTTTTTTTGACTTTTATGTTTCAATGACTAATTTAAAATTATCATTTTGATGGACAATTTATTTATGTTTCACTAATTTTCTTGTAAAGTTTATTATAGATGCCCCATTTATTTTATTTTATTTTTACAAATACAGAACCATGCACATGAGTTGCCAAAATGCATCTTGCTCAAAAGCAAACACTATCACATTGTAGAATAACCTAAAGTTTGAGACAACCAAAAATTAAAAGTATGAAACTAAACTTTAAGTCAAAGACTTTATATACCAAATGGTATACATATAATTATTTAATTTACTATTGAATTATCGATAAACTCTTCAAACCGTTAAAATTCGATAACCCGATAATAAAAAAATCAAAACAACTATTCATAGTGTGGTCTGAACTCCATTCCTCTTCAGCATTCTTTTGATTCAGAGAAGTGCCGTCATTTCAATCTTCAACAATTTCATTTAAGCAATTCATCTCCACAAATAATTGAATAGGTTCCATATATCTAACACTAGTATCAATACTACTTGTAATTAATCCACCAATAGATGACACGGTCAAGTCATTATCTGCGTTCTCATGGTCTTATTACCTTCCTAAATTTTCTTAAAATGGAATAAATACATCCTAAAAGCTAATGTTACATAGAGAGTGTGCACACTCTCTTGAAGGCAAGTGATGAGTAAAAAAATTGGACACGTGTCCTTGTTTAATTGGTAACTTTATAATTAAGTAGTACACATAATTATTAATTTATATATATCTAATTATTTTTATTTCTTTCAATATAAAATTAATTTTTTAATAAAATAATTTTAAAAAATTAATGATGTGGCAGATGTGTATACAAACACATCCAACTTGCTTGGTTGTAAGTGTCAGTTAGCACAAAAGGTGCACGAAACTACGGAAGAAAAATAAGTTTGGGGTAATAAAACCCTAATTATGTTAAGGTATGTCATAGAGATTTTATGACAATGAAACGGCAAAACCTGGTAGCAAGACCTAAACCGGTACAATTGGAGAATCCTTCCTCTTTTGAGCATTCAATAAAAACACTTGTAAAGTTGTGGTGAGTAGAAGGTCACTATTGCTGGTGATAATATATGTTGCATATAGAAATCAAAGTTAGTGACCGGAGGTGAATGCTTGTTTTCCAATAACTCCTATTATCACTAACACATTGTTTTACTGTTTACTCTACCTTATTATATCTTATAACTTATATAACTGTTGTTAGTGTGGAGATTAATAAAATGTTTTTCTTTCACACAAAAAAAAATTATGTAACATTTAGCTAGGTCATTCATTTACGAAATATACTAACCTATAATCTCCCTATTTATTGCAAGAACAATTTTTTCACCTATAAATAGTGATGGTCTTGCATTATATTGAGTATATGAAAAAGTGTGGGGAAAAAATGAGAAGTATTATATTGTGTTTATTTTGAGGTTAGTGTAGTCAATAGTGAAAGAGAGAGTTGAGTAAAAAAAAAATATTTTAAGTCTTCAACTAATTTACCATACAAAAAAAAAAGAGTAATTGTATATTGAAGAAAGATTTTCTTTTGGTGGAGCTTTGGATTGGACTCTTCAACTAATCTGGAATTGTTTGAGTTGTATGACATTGTTGGGTTGTTATATCATGTAATGACACAAAAGGTCATTTTTGAATTTTTTTTGTAAAATTATCATTTTACCCCTCCTGATAGTTGCCCCAAGTCATTTTCGATCAGTCGGTGAAGTTGGTTTGAAAATTTTAAACTATTCAATAACTACAGTTATTTAATTGATAGATATTCATTAAATAATTATTTTTGTAACTTGCTCTTTAATTAATACCATATACCATTTGGCTCATATATTAAAAAAAATTAGTAGGGTTTAATATTCTTAGATCGATCATTAACTTTGGGAAAAAAATTTAAAGAAACTGGTGGCATCAATGACCAAAGGAAACAACTCACAGTGCAGGTATGAATTTTTTTTAAGAAAACAATTCTCAGATTCTTGTATATGTTTAAATGATGGCTGAGTTTATGGGTAGAGTATCTTATTATATTATCATACTAGTGTACTTATTCGCGCTTCGCGCGAAATTGAATATATTTTTTAAATAATTAATGTCGTTAATTGACTATTTTTTGATAAAAAGTGTATAAAAAATACAAATCAAGTCACGGTCGTGATGTTGTCTATTCAGAAAATTGCTAGAAAGATGTTTCAAACTTTAATTTCCGCTTAACATTGCCGATAAAAAGAAGAAAAACATAAAAAGTATCTTAAGAAAAAATATTAAGTTGATTATATAACAATACATCGGAGATTATACTTTGCAATAGAAAATAAAAGAATTGAAACACATAGTATATAATAAAATGTATATTTATAAGAAGTCATGACGTCGTTAGTAATTTGATGTGTACTTATCTACTCGATTTCATAGAATGACAAAATATGAAAGGTATACCAAGAGTTGGATCAATGTTTGTCCCTAACACATGTAGAGGAGTGGAAGAGTTTTATAACATTAATCTAATTATTATTGTAGTCATCACTAAAAAAATTAATATATGATAATAACTATTACAAAAATAACTCCTTTTTTAATGTAGAAAAATTAAGATAGATAATTTTTCCTTTAAATAATTACAAGTTAAATACATATTAATCACAAATGCAACTATTTATTATAGCATAACTATAAAATAATTTTTCATTATATATGTACACATAAATGAGAATTCATTCTTCATTCTTTTCATTAAATAA